CCCCCGGCCCCTGCCCCACGGGGCTGCTCCCGGCTGGCGTTGTGCAACCCTGTGCCCCACGGTCCCCGCGGCGCTGGGCTGCCCTCGGGCTGCCCCTTCGCTCGGCCGCCCGGCGAGCTCAAGGCCCCTGCGAGATGAGCGGGACGGCAGGGCCGGCCATGGCAAAACCCTCTTACTTCTGCTCTCGCGGGCCAGGGCTGACCCTCTGACAGCTGATGCTACCTCAGAACCCAAAAGGGATAAAACTGCTGTGTTTTATTAGCGTGAAACTCTTACTATGGTCCAAGGAGTCACTAAATGCCTAATGGGGCATGTAATTTCTGCAGGTTTCTTGATGTGTTTGAAACTTATGTTTTGCGGGGAAGGAGGTGAAAAATAAAACTCTTCAGGTGTGCTGTGGTCAGTCCTTCCAGCCAGCTCATTCTTCAAAGGCAGATTTTGCCTGTCCTCAGTATGGGAGCGCAGGCAGCTGAGGGCTTCCGCAGTGCTGTTTGCCCCGGCCACGCGCTGTGCCATCCCTGTCCTCTGCGTTTGCATAGCCCCTTGCCCAAAGCTATCAGAGGAAAAATAAGGAAGAGGCCTAAAACACAAAGCCTCTTACTTAACAGAAAACTCAGATAAGATTGGTGTGTTAGACAAACACTTCTCTATCTTCAGACGTAGCCTGTGCTTTCACTGAAAGAAGTTTCTGGTTCTGAAGGTGGCAAAGAAAACTTTTATGTGAAACTGGGCTGCTTGCTGGCATCTTGTCTGATGCCTGCCTCCCTTTCTAGTTTTGAGACAGCTTGAAATAGCTACCCGGGAGAGGTATAGGTTTCCCCTATCATCCCAACAAAAGGTTGATCGGAGATCTTGCTAACAGTGTGATTCTGCATCGCTGAAATTTTCGGCAGAAACGTATGGTGCCTCCAGAAATGTGGGAGGATGGTCTCTGAGAGAGGAAGCAGCTGGTCCCTCCAGCCCCGTGATGAGACACGAAAGTGCTCCTTCCAGGGTGTGTTTCGTACTGGGTGACAAGCAGGAGGCGGTATCTGTGCATGGAACTAGGTGTCCCTAGGAAGGGCAAACTGAACTTTGTATATGTGCATATGCTGCTAAAATTCCCAAGTTCTTTTCTTCTTGTTCATAGTTTTGTTGTTTCTTTTTTTCTTTTTTGAGTTACATGAAACTAGGCAATATTTATTTAGATAATACAAAACTACCTTCCAGAAATAAAAATGACAAGATTGTATGTGTAATTAAAAAAGAAAAAAGAGAGGAAAAAAAATCACCTTCCCTGAGGTATTTCTGAAGTTCTCAAAATAGTCCCAAATCTGTATGCTTTGCTAGTTAATGTTAGTGGCAGGTTTTTTGGTCAAGCTAGTTATGGTTCCTTGTGCACTAAAGGTAGTGGACTGTAAGTGTTTTTTTCTACTGCCTTATTTACCACCTCTGTGTTGCCTTTGTGTGCCCCAGGGTCAACACCAGCCTGTCCAACGATGATCTCCTCGTGGAAGACTTGGAGACAGAAGGAGAGAGGCAGCTGAAGAGCCTCCTTCACCACCAGCTCGATACCAGTATTTCCATCGAACAGTAAGTCCTGATCTGGCCAGCAGAGCCCGGGGCACTGGGGCTGGGGCCTTCTAACCAGGAAGATGGTTCATGCAGTGAGTCATGTAAGCCAAAACAGCTGCACAAATCCTGCTTCCTTTATAGTATCTTTTGCCTGGACATTACAAGTGGGAGATAAGCACTCTGGATCTTCTGGGACAAATGCCAGCAGCAATTTATTTTGACCTAGTAGGCCACTTACCGGAGAGAAAAGCAGACTTAGGCAGGGGCTCAGGCAGGGGTCTGGGGAGTGTGCCTGGGTTGTGTTTCAGAAACAATCTCTGCCTAGTTTGGGCAGGACAAATAGTGGCTGGGTGGGAGAAGCCGGCCCCTTCCCACTCCCCCTGTTTCTCAGCATGAAGGAGTTTCTGCTGTTGTATTGCTTTGGGTTACAGGTGCAAATCGAAGCGGAGATGCTTTGCCCCTGCAGCTTTTTACAAGCCTTTTGGGGAAGAGGCCGCGGGGGCTTTGACCTTGTCACAGTTCCAGGCCCTGCAGGAGAGCGACAAGGAAACTGCTTCTCTCCGGGAACTTGGGCTCTCGGACTCGGAGATTCTGCTCTGGAAGAACCGGGCTTCAACAGAGAAGGTGAGACGCGTTCTATTCTGTGACCTGTACCTGTTCAAGTTTCTTCAACCTCATAGCCTGCAGTACCTTTATAGAAAATTCAAGTGCTGTGTAATCCCTCTAGTAAAGAGCAACCACTCCATGTGATCTCTTGCCTTTAGACCAGCTGGGTAAGACATTTTTTCTGGCCTGTTTTCTTTGGTTAAAGAGTCTGTGCAGAAAGCTGTAATGGACAGGAAAGGTGATCCTTGGGAGCTGACTGTTTTCCTGCCTCTGTCACAGAGCGCCTTGATGACCTTGAGCAAATCATTTCACCTGTTTATCCCTGAAAGGAGGAATTAAAATCTGGAGGAGGGGAAGGAGGAAACATTTCAAAGCACCAAAACCTCCTTTCTGTGTTCTGACACTTCCCTGGATCCCATGGCAGGCTTGGGATAGCTGTTTGTAAGGAAGTTTGCACGTGCTCCTCAGGGGCTTGCAGATTCTTCAGGGAACAATAGAAGTAGCAGTGCAGAGCTGCTTGACCAAGTACGTCACTGCGATGACATACTCCTCTTGGGGTGCAGTTTGCAGCAAAGCAGTGCCAAAGCAGGCTGGGGAAGCAGCTTCCCCCTTTCGCTTCCTTTACCCATTCCTTTCAAGTTCCAGAGACAAGGGCTGTTGGGGTCATTCTGTGTCAAGTGCTCTGGAGTGTCTTTCTCTTAATTAGGCAAAGCAGAAGGTACAAAACAGGACTTGAGCTGACCCTTGGCTTCCCTCCAACTCAGCCTCCTCTTGCTGAGCAGTAGCTGTGTGTGGAAGGAAGCAGTAAGTCAGTGGTAATCATGGGTTTGCCTCTCTTCAACTGAAGTCATTACTTCAGTATTTAAATGCAAACCCAGCCCTGGTGTAGCCTGCATTCAGGCTTGGGTTAAGGAGGGGGGTGGTGTTCCTTTTGAAGAGAAAATTAATGCCAACAGCACAATCTGTTAAATTTGGTACAAAATCAGTCCAGGGATATTTAGAAATAAAAATTAGAATGGCAAACACTATTCTGGAAGAAAAAGTCAGTGACCTTAGGGTATATTTCCTGCAGCTCGTGAGAGGAGAATAATATTTAGAGAGATAGCTCAAGTCTAGCAGAGATGTGCAACTTTGTATATGGAGGGCCTCAAGTGAAATATTCCATCAAGGAGGAATCAGCTGAGACAAAGAGGACTCCGGATTGCCTGTGGAGCTCTCAGCAAGGGATCAGTGCAGGCTTATCTTATTTTCAGCTGCTGAATTGCAGCTCTATTGAAAACAAGGTGTGACAAATGATTTCCCAGAACTGCTTTTCCACATAAACAGCCCTTTGTGCTCCAGGGAAGCTGTAAAATGGTGAATAGAAGCAGGGCAGATGTAGGGCAATGCAAAGAGGAGGGAAGGGAGAGATACCATTGGGAAAATCTCTGTTAGACTGTGATCTATGGAGGGAGAAAGCCTGATTTCTTGCCTGAGGCAGAGGGATCTGCCAGAGTAATTCTCCAAGAACTGAATTTGAGAAAAGAAAATCCACCTACAGCCCTAGACAACGTGTTCTCTGGATTCTGATAAAGATCCATGGGGAAAAGCAGAAATGCCCTTCAGATGCTTCCTGGCTGCACCCACTCCAGAGTTGGAGGATGTGAAGTTTGACTCCTAGCCAGGCCTCTGAAGGGAGGCATGTGCTGCCTCTGAGCAGAGCTGTGCCTGTCTTCCAGGGTTCAGGGCTGGGAGCGGCCCCTGAGGCCACACAGGACCGACTCCATGCCATCCATGAGAAGATGGAAGAGCGTCAGCGCATACTCTCCCTACCCCAGAGGTTTGCTGGCAGCAAGCAGCTGAGCCGGAGGGAGATGGAGATTGAAAATGCGCTCTTTCAGGGAACAGACCGTCATTCCTTCCTCCGGGCACTCTACCACCAAGGTACGTGGGCCTGAGGCTGTTCCTGCCTTTGCTCCAGCAGGGAGAGCTGAGGTACGTGGGAGTGCAACACATTTCTGTCTGGCCTTCTGCCCCTGATGAAGACATCATTCTGTTTTAGCGCTGTGTAGGAGGAGATATTTTCCTCTCTTGTATGAAACAGATAAACCCTTCAGAACCGCCCTGCCAGCCTCCGCTACATAGCCATCTCCATGCTTGGAGGGCTGTGGATCTCATTGACGTGCTGTGCGTAGTGCAGAGCCCAGCCCAGTACGTGGAGTAAGAGCCGATGTTACTCCATGTTGGAGAGCCTGGAGGTCCCCACTGAGGACAGAGCTGCACTGGGTGAAACAAGTGGCCTCTGAAGGGCTACAGGTTGTCCCTTCTGTGACTTAACAGCATTCTGACAAAAGTGGGAGGGAAGCAAAGGCACAGAGCAGGGAAAAAATAGGAGTGACTTGTTAAAGGCCCCCCAGTAAGTCAGTAGCAGAGGTGGAAACGGAGCCTGATTGCTGATTCCCAGGTGGGTGCTCTGTGCTTGGGATGACACCACCTCTCACCTCAGCAGTGCTCTCCCCTAGCCTGTGGTTTAATGTGACTTTTTGGGTGGAGACTCTAGTGTTGTCCAGCGATGATGTAAACTGCTCCTTATGCTTTAGCTGGAGAACATGCAGAGGTGAAGTTCCTGCCTGAGACTGGTTTTGTGTATAAGACAGGGTTAAATAGCCGACAGGGTTAGGAAGAACTCCTAAAACACCGCTCTGTAAGGTACAGCTGACTCTAGCAGCCTCGGGTCCTTGCTCCCCCTTCTGGTGTCACGTCAATGTTGCTGCAACTAGGAAAACCAAGAGGCCTCAAAGTTGAGGTTGGTAAGCTGGGAGAGGCCCCTTTCATTTCTGTCTTCACTTCCATTAAATACAGTAAAGGACATATCATTTGTATATCCGTGATATGGACCTTCTTTAAATCCATGACTTTAACCTGAGGAAGTCCTGGAAGCAAAAAACCAAGTTAAATCAGCATGGTACATCCAGATCATGCAGGAGGAGGAAGGTGTGGGGACGGAATTATTAGGCTGTGCTGAAATGTGGTTGCAGATAAGCTTAATGAGATCATCTGTAGAAAAATGAGCTCTGTACAAAGTACTGGTGAAGCTGCTCCTCTCTGCAGGTCTGTCCTGAGCTGGTATATCAACACTTGCTGGGTGCTGTTTATTTCCCTTCCTATTTTAAGTAATCTGCAGGTCCTGGATAGCAGGTGCATGGAGGTTTGCCTAAAACAAGGCTTCTCCTCTTTTGGGATCCTGTCTGTTTCTTCTTGAAGTCTTCATTTTCCAGGTTGTTGGTGGTAGTTACTTTATCGTGTTTCTCTGTGGCGGATTAGATGACACTCAGAAGAGGATAGCAAATGAAAAGGACCCCATGGTTCACCTGGAGACTGTTTATCAAGAGCTGCTGAGCAAGCAGTTGCCTGAGGAACTCCAGCCTACAAGGACTGATCCATGCTTGCCCCTTTCTGTGGCCCCAAAGCAGCCTGCGTTTGAGGAAACATCGCTTTCAGACCAGGGAGAGCAGGCAGAGCAGGAAGGAAGTCCCAGCCTGCCTGCAACAAAGCCCCACCCGCCCCCCTCAAGCCCTGTGACTATAAAAGACCCCGTGGAGTTTGTTCCAGAAGAGGAGATCTGCAAGAACCGGCTCTCAGAGGAAGAACTCCGGAGTATCCCCAGGTTTGCCTCCTACCATCCTGGAGAGCCCAGCAAGGTATGCTGAGATGTAACCAGGATGTGTTCATCCTCCCAGCGACCATGCGCTAAAGCCCTTTCATCAGGCAGATTCATCTTTGCTATTAAATGGCTGTTGTCTGGAGGGTGCCTGCTTGATCCTCCCTGCCAAGGGGAGCAGCCTCTGCTGTAGGAGAGAAGGGGCCCTTTGACCACAGCAGGAAGTCAGCCTGCCTGGCAAATAGCTGCACTTCAGACCCTGGTCCTTCCTGGCTCTGGGGGCTCTCTAGGCAAAATGTCCTCTGCCCATCTGGGCCTGAGTGAGACTGGCCAGGACTTTGTTCAAACTGTGCTTAACCGGTGCCTGGAGCTGGTGATGTTTTATAAATAACTAGAGCCATCAGCAACTTGCACAGAGACAGCATGATGATGCTGACCAGTGCTGCCTGTCTCTGCACACCCACCTCCATCTTTCAAACTCCACTGTCAGTGTCAGGGGGAAGGATGAACTCTGGGGTGTCAGAGAGGCTGAACTAATTCATCGATGTGAGGTGCACAGGCTGGGACTGAGTTGCGTGGCTCAGGCCAGCTGACCCTCTCTCTTGGGAATAGGTGCTGTATTTGAAGAACTTGGGTCCTCGAGTGACGATGAAGGAGCTAGTGTCCTTGTTTGCTCGGTTCCAGAGGGAGAACAGCCCACCGGTCCAGTTTCGCCTGCTGAGTGGCCGGATGAGGGGTCAGGCTTTCATTACCTTCCCTGGTGAGTCGCTCCTTCGTGTCTCTCAGTTCTTTTCTGACTCCTGAAGGTGCCACCTCCACTCCACAGGGCACTGGGCTGGTGCAAGCCAATGCTCCATGGAGCAGGAGGTGAATTCAGTCCTTCGCCTTTGTATCATGTCAGCAGTCTTTCTCCTAGACTGAGAGATCCACCAAGACACAGGGGATGCAGTCTGTTATGGGCTGTATTCACCATCACTCTGGCTGGGCGATCCCAGCCCTGCACTTGATCGTGGTGCTGACCAAGGGTCTGTGAGGCAGTAGCGTCTGTGCCAACATCACGTGTGCCTGTGCCAGAACTTGCTGGGTTTGTGTTGGGGCTGGTGACCTGAGCCCATTTTACTCTCTTGTTGCAGATACTCAGGCAGCACAGAATGCTATGCAGCTGGTGAATGGGTACAATCTGCAGGGGAAGCCTCTGGTTATTGAATTTGGGAAAAGCAAGGGGCATTCATCAGAGGCCAACTCTGCCATCCCCTCTTCCTGTACTGGAGAGAACCCACCTGCCAAGTAAGGGATGGATAATCTGGGGACCTTGTGGATTTGCACAGGCCTTGGGAACGCCTTGGTCAGAACTGGGACGGTAAAGGACTGCTGCCAGGAGTTAACATACAGGTCTATAAATCTCAAAGTGGGGAAAGGCGAGAGCTAGGACTAGGCTCTTTGAGTGACGTGGGAAAGAGCTCCTTCCTAGCCTGAGCCAGCGGGGAAGGTCAAGGTGATGGGGTGAATGTGGCCTCTCCCAGTGTAGTGTGTGGCTTGACCCTGGTTTGAGGGCACCTGAGGATCTCTTTAAGTGTTGTGTGAGGATCAGAGCTGTGTTTGTGCCCTTCTGTATACAGTTCTAGCACTGTCTTTACTCTGTTAGGGTATACTGGCTTTTTCCTCCTGGTCTACAGTTCTGTATCTGCCTTCTCAGCCCTTTGTGGGAAGGAGGAAGAGAGGAAACCGTATGAATAAATGCATTTATATTGTGTTTTCTTAGTATGTGTTCATTTGCCTTTGTCCAGTGCAAGTCCTTCTTCTAGAACCAAGTGTACTGCATTTTTATGATGCAGGATTGTGTCTCACCTCTGTGTTGGGAGCTGGAGTTCCTTACTGGTGTAGTGAGTGGTGAGGCTGCTGCCCATTCTCTGGCAGCAGCAGATACAGCCCTTTGTGAGAAGGGAGAAATGCTGCCCCTTTTCTTTCTTTCTGTCTTCTCAATATTGATCTCTAAAAGCCCTATAGCTTGGTAGCTCTCATAAGAAACCATTGCAACAGATGCCGTGGTTGATCTGATGACGTGTTTTAGCTCTCTTTGTGAACGAGGCAAGCTAATGTCATATGCTTCCCACATTTTTCTACCATTTCTGGGAGAGCAACATTCACGCTCTTGTTGAGGCTGATTGAGGGAACCAAGTCTTTCCCAACAGAATTGAGTTGCAGATTTCCTCTGCAATCTTAGATATAGCCATGCAGCGAAGAGACGAACGTTACCAAGAACAGCCATTTTTCTCCCTGATGCCATCTCCCCCTCCAGTGTGTTTGACTCCTTTTGCAATTACCCTCCTTGTAAATGCACAAGTTACGAAAAGCACAGATATGGATCTGGATGCTGGCCAAGGCTGCACAGTGCAAAGGCTTGATCTGCTGGGGAGGAGAGCATTCAGGTTTGGAGCAAACTGGAAAATCAAATCCCAGAAGAAAGGCTTTGGCTTTGCCCAGGCCTGACAGGCACTGAGCAAAACCATCTTTGCCCTAGTGCTGGCACACTTTGCTCTTCAAAGTTTGGAGGCTCAAGAGCCATGTGGCATGCAAAACGCTTGGAGACTGTTTGGGACAGCGGCTTGTGGCCTGCGGAGCCGCTCTGTCCTGAGGAGCCGGCGTCGCCGCGGAGCCATTGTGCATCTCCGCGGGGACGGTTCTGTGGCCTCGCACCCCGGAGCGCAAACCCATGGCACACAGAGCCATCCACCATGGCCTTGCAGGAGGGCACACCTGTGCCACAGGTGGGTCCCCAGGGACTCTGTCGTTTCCTTCCCCCCGAAAGTTGTCCTGCCCCCTCTGGAGGGCAAAGCACCAGCCTCGAGCACGGGCATCTGGTTTTCAGCAAGCTCGCAGCCTGTGGAGAGGCTATGGCCTTGCAGCTGTGCCACCGAGCTCCGGCTGGGAGCTTGGCCAGGCCCTTTTTGCCCGGTACCTTTGGGGGTCCCCTCTGGGGCCGGCCTGACTCGCTGTGCACTCG